AGGGTCATTCGACGACCTCAACAATATGCTTGGCACACGACACACCGAAACGAAGACCTACACTTCGACTTACTATTTATAGGCGGAGCATGGCGACTTGACCCACTACTACTGCCTCATTGCATGCGACATCCCAACAAGACAAGTCGACGTTGAAGCCACCATAGAATGTCGGGTTTATTTGTAGTCCTAGAAGTTTGCATCTCAGACGGCGGAAGCCATTTCAAGTACTCCGTCGTGAAAGAACTTGCGACGAGCTACGAGCGCAGCACAACATAGTGCTCGCATACTGCCCTTGGCGCAACGGAACGGTCAAACGCGTCAATCGCGATATTCCTGGGACTCGTGCGATCATGCTGAGAGAGAGGAAGAGCCCCGCGCGAAGCATATCATTCACGGCTCATGTTCTATGAGGAAAGCCACTTCCCCATTACCAGAAGAAATCATCGCCCACGTCAGCGAGCATGGGACCACCCTGGTTGTTGACCAGACGCAACCCTGGTTCAAACCAGTGGGAACTACTCATCCGTTGGAAACACCTAGAGAGCCCCTGGTAATGTACCAGGAGATCCCATCTGTGGTGCAGTCGTTTGCCGACCAATTACCAAACGGCGCGAAACTCGAAAGGCAGGTTGGGGCCCTGGAATGGTCGTTGAGCACCCTCCTTCATATCGTTGTTCCAAGTTGCCTTACACAAGTTAGACACGGGCATACGGGGAGTGTTGTGTTGCCTTGATGGACATACCCGTAGTCCTAGCACCCACTCGACCCACCTGACTGGAGCCATTCGGGCGGCGAGCATAAACGGTTAGGACCAAGAAAGGCCAGGTCTAATCTTAGGAGAATGGTAGCACCATAGGGAATTTAGACTTGGAGCTAGTATAGGATCAGATCAGTCAGTTAGTGAATAGCTCAGTTCTAGTTTTGCCTCCAACTGCTCAATCCACCGCCAAGCTATGCCCAGCAGTCCACTGATACCCAACATTGTGTTTGTGTTGAGAAGTTGCACAGAGACGCAAGTTGTAACGCATTGTTGTGTGCACAAGGCGCAAACCCTTTCAGGTGGTACAACGATCGCACAGCCATAATGCATGTAGTACTGAGAGCTGATAGCACTGCGTGGATGGCCTACGATACTGTAAAGGTGCTGAGAGCTTCGTGCTGCTCGAATCTCACAGCATTACGATTTTGATGTGGCATCGGTGCAAAAAATTGGCCATCAATCAAAAATACTGCAAAAAGTGTAGACCTTACGCGTGATAGTACCCGTGACCTTCGGCACACTAAGCTGACGCGCTACCCCTGCCCGGTTGTCTATAGTGCCGATAGACTCCTGGTTGCCCACGTTGTTGTTGAGACTACCCTTTCTAGTTCATTTTGCCTAATACATTAAGTCTTTAAACCAGTTGGTGACTATACCACAATATAACTGAAAAAGTTCCAATTTGACTCAGCCACATCAAAAGTATTCACTCTGCTTCCAATTTGGCGGCAGCTACCAAATACACATTATAACTGAATTTATTGTCTTTTCGAGTGAAATTTCGTGTTCTGGCGTGGTTTCTCGTTCGAATTTAATTCGATTTGATTGGCTACCTGAGATGAGCTCAAAATTATTAGCCAATCAAAACCTTATCAATGAAATTCAACCAATCAGATCGATTGTGGATCGGTTTGGTCGGCGCGATTAGATTGTACCCCCTCCCCAAATTTGTATCAAATCGACAATATGCAAACAATTTACTTTTAACACAGAAAAATACAAAAAGACTGACATACTAGACAGATTTCGCAAACGCCAGTTCTATACTATCCACATCCTATCCTCTATGACTGAATAAAAATAGAACCGACCTGCAAAAACTTGTTGTATCGGCTGCAAATCTCGCTGAATTTGTGGCGAGGTGGCTATCCGCTGTATCCGAATAACACTACTGGTCTTGCACGACGCCGGCATGAATGACGAGGTTGCGACCGACGTCACCGAGGGCCAGCAGGCTCGCAAGTGGTGGAGCGACGCCGACGACATGAGTCTGTTGACTCAAGTCAACATTGACCTGCCCTTCAAGCAAGCGAAGAACACAACGAAGGCGTGGGATGCGGTGGCGAACAATCTCCGCCAAGTTCATGGGTTTGGCAGGATTGGGCTGGACGGTAAGAAGGCCTCCAGCCGCTTCTACCAATTGCTGCGGGTCCACAGTAAGTTCCAAGAGAGCTCAAAGTACCTCTCCGGCGTGGAACAAGACGAGACAGGCAAGATCATGCTTCTGGACGAGTTGATTCAACTCTTCGACGAGGCCAGCGACGAACGCCAAGCCGAACGAGCAACGACGGCCGCCAAGGCCACCGAAAAGGAGGCCGCCGCGGGATATGTGCGGGAGCAAGCGATGATGCGGGGCCGCCGTAAGTCCAATGAAGGCGACGATTCCACCGATAGCGACCTGGCAAGTCGGAAACGAAAGGCTATATTCGAAACTCAAGAGCGCGAAATTGCGTTGGAACACGAGCGACTCGAGTTTAAGAAGTATAAATTTGAGATGGAGCTACAGGAAAGAGAAAAGGACAGGATGGAAAGAATCCAGCAACGCGAGGACGAAAGAAAGAGAAATGATGACATGATGGACCTCATCCGTCACTTGCTTCACCGCTAAATTGAAAATACACTTTTACACATTCGATTTATTAGTTGCCATCATTTGGTAGCTGTAAATACTCCTCTAGAGATGGCGGTGTAAGGTTGAAGTAGCTACTAATTTGATTTCCACCGTGATAACAACAGTGGCAATTAGTAAACAACATTGCAACCATAATCACCTTGCCCACACTTTGCAACATAA